ATTGTTTCACTGTCTAGCTCTTGCAGTAGCTATTGATGCTACATCAAAAGATGCTGCAGCTGCTGATGCTGTTTCTGTTCTCACAGTCATTTCAGTAGCACTCCAACATCTATTTCTATCTTCAGTCTGTGACAGTCTGCTCAAGACTCCACCAGCCTGGGAAAAAATCGCTGCCAAAAGTTTTGCAAAAAAGTTTTTTCTTCAGGCTTTTCCTCAGGGCACGTTTTGTTGACAAACTCAAAAGCACAACACAAAACCAAGCTATTTCCCCAGAGTGCAATCGCTGCCAGAGCTCAGAGGTCTTTTTCTCCACCCACTGAGGCAAGAACTTCCTTTTTTTTTTCCTTTTTTAATGCTTAGCTGACTCATGAAATAGTCCTGTTTTAACTGTTTCAAATCCATTCAATATTTCCACACTTGCTTTTGGAGCAGGATCCTCTAAACTCCTTTTAATATATAATTTGGACTACAACAGCCATAAAACTTTGTTTAATAAAAAGGAGATACAAAATTCATTTAATAAAAAGAATTAAAATAAAACCTTGTCCAAACTAATCCAATTTACCATACAGATAATAATCACAATGAAGCTATTTATATTGCTTCTCTCTAATGCCCTTACAATTCAGGTTCCTGTTTGGAGTAGTACAGAATGGCACCTATCAGTGAATCACAGAATCATTTTGGTTGAAAAAGATCTCAAGATCATCAAGTCCCATCTTTGACTCATCACCACCATGTCAACCAGACCATGGCACATCCATTCATTCCTTGAACACTCCCAGTTAGAGATGCACATATGACTCAACCTGGGATGTACTTGTTATTCCACCACTGCCCTGGGCAGTCTGTTCCAGTGTTTAACAATCCTTCCCTGGAGGAAAACCTAATGACCAACCTGAACCTCCCTAGTGCAGCTTGAGACTTTTAAGCTTTTGTCCTATTGAGTGACAGCTTTAGTTCTATTACTGATTGCCTGGGAGAAAAGGACAACCCTCACCTGACTACAATCTCCTTTCAAGAAGCTAAAGGGATTGATAAAGTCACCTCTGGGCCTCCTTTCCTCCAGGCTAAACTACCCCAGCTCCCTCAGCTGCTCCCCATACAACTTACAAACACATATCTATCTGGTACCATATAGTTTAGAAGAAACTATTTCTGCCTGAAACATCTTGTACCTACCTTACTCTATGCAATGACAGTGTTATGCAGAAAAACTCCTTGTATCTTTTCACCTTCCCTTCTCACAGACAGCATTGATTATGAAATCTACAGGAGAAAAAAAATTCTTCTCTCAAATGCATTTATTTCCCTAAAATCTTCAGGATATAATGTGGGCTACATTATTGTTGTTGTCATTACTATCACAATTATATAATAACCACAGCAGTTATCCCTGTTTTTTGCGTTTTTTTTTTTTCTTTTCACCTATTCTTCAGTGGCAATTTAAAACCAGGCAAAGATGTAATGCAAAATATGTTTTACTGTTCTATCTTCAGAACAAGAGGAGAGGAGATTTTTAATATGACTGGGAAGAAGGACCTAGAGGAACTGTCTTTGGAAATAATTATTCTTCCAAAATCACATATATGCATATTAACTGCAAAGTGCCAAGTATTAGGTAATATACTCCTTAGACTTCAGAAATATTTTTTTGTTGTTGTTAAGTAATGTTTAAATTTCAATGAATTCCAAAAATTCGCTGAAGCCCCAAATTATTATGCAGGCAGACTAAGAAGGGTCCTACATTGAAAGCATAAAATACCTTTGACTGAGATCAAAAATAATTTAGTAAGAAAAAATTACAGATACTCCTTGGATTAATTCAAAGGAAGATATTCACTTACTATGAAGTTCTGAGTGCTGCTTAGATGGAAATATTTTTGATTAGGAACAAATGATGGAGAACTCATTCTCCTTTGCTGTTCAGTTATATTTATGGAAATTGAGAAAAGCTATTACATATTCAAGAAAGAAATTTTGCATTCAGAGTTTGGGTTCACCAAACAGTACAGTTGGATAAAGCACTGAGTATAACTATGTGATTAAGAAAACAGGCAGACAAAACATGGTAGGAACTTCTCAAAGTGATTACAAGGTCAGTAGCTGCACACAGAGCTAGGAGCAGACCTTGCTTAATAGTACTTGTCAGAGTAGACAGAATATCATCAAGCTCACAGAAGATTAATAAAAAGAAGAACTACACTGAACTAGAGCAAAGTGTCTTTCAGTCAGAAAGTGAAGAGCACTAGAATCCACAGGAGTAGTTTAAAGGGCTTTATACAGTGAAAGATCCACACACCTACTTTGGTGACTAAAAAGGGAATTTATGCTCCAAGTCCAAGACAGCTGGGTCTATAATGACCACAGTTCCACGAGGTATATATGCACATATGACTCAACTCTGGATGTACTTATTATCTGTGCAGTCTGTATCTAAATATAGTTTGAAATTTTCTTTGCATGACTGAAGTCAATTGATGCCAAGAGAAGCAGCTCATCTAGGTGCCACCTGAGCTCCATTTCTTCTTAAAGATAAGAAGAGTCACCTAATGTCTCTTAAAACCTGTGCAGACCCATTCCTCCGTTCTTCTTGGAAACTGTAACATTTACAGGTGCGACTAATTATTTTACAGGTGCGACTAATTATAGGAAAGTTTGGCAGGAAGTTTTCTTCATAAAACAGGTAGATGTAAGACAGGCTTGCTTTCCAGATAGGGGAAAAACCAAGGACATAGTTCCAGACTGGGCTTCCACCTCAGAAGACTCAAATCCAAATCCGTCACTCCTCCAAGTGTGCCCTGCTGTGCAGCAGAACAGTGTCACCCTTCCTACACTGGAGCCAAACCAGGGGTTGCAGACTTGTGAGGTGGTCTGTGCCCTCAGCAGAGGCTGTCACAAGTTAAACATTGTCTCACTCTGTAGCCAGCTTAGGCTGAGGAGATCCAGCTGAAATATGGAACTGTGCAAAGAGTTTTCTCCGAATCAAAAAGTCAAATAGGCAAAACACCAGCAAATGCATTTTAAAGAGAATACTTTCTGCACGAATGGACAGATGAAGCGCCTAAAATGGATGAGCAAACTTTCTTAACCAAATTTACTTAGGCTCCAAAGAAAAGCAGAAATAGAAATCCCCCTGTACTTAAGAACTTCCTACAGATTCTAGCACAAGGCAGCTCAGCACATGCCCTGATCCCATTCACCAGCTAACCATATCTGTTCTGAAATAACAAAGAACTGTACCCAGGGGAAAGAACTGTTTGGGGAGCAACTGGCACCCTGCCACAATCAACCCACCACAGCTGTATAAAAGTAATACAGATTTCCAGTGATCTTATTAGGCAGAAGTGACTATCACCCTCTAAGAGTACATTCCAAGGCAGATGGGTTTTTGGTAGGCTATACTCTGTTCTAATACTCTAGTACTACAGCTTGATGCAAACTAGAATAGAATATACAAATACTGTATTTTTTAAATTCAAGTAACTTAAAAACTTAAACAGTTTAAGTAATATTGCAATTTAGGTAAGATTAAGTAAAATCTCTACACCAATCACCAAGGCAGAGCAAATGACAAACCTGCACATCAGAGGGTAAATGCAAAACAAATGACCTCTCTATGAATTCCCTGCTTATTCCTAAGTCCTGCAGTGAAACCCAGTCCTTAGCACAAGGCACAGCTGGGAGCTCATCACCACCACTTGTTGGCCACAAAGTCAAACGTCCCCACAGTGTCACCTTCTGACACCCAGACCAGCCCTCTGTCCCATAGGAGGGCCACTGGTACTTCCAAAGTTCCACGCTGGAGAAAAATGAGCAATGCATTTTTTTTAACTGAGGACTTTTGTTGGTTAGGGTTTTTATTAATACTATTTTTTTTAACTGAATCAAACTCTGCCAAGTCACTAAATGAAATTTGGTGATTTTCAGTTCATTGCCTTTCCAAGTTCAATAAAGACAATGAAATAGCAAAGCAATTATATAGTCAAGCTTTACAAAATTCCATAAAATTTAATGATTATTTAGTAATAAATAAAGATATCTGTTGTCACAACCTTTTTTATCTTACCTTGTTACATAAAAATATATCAAATTCAAAAATATTGGTACGATTTTTTTTTAAATTGCATTTTAAAGTCTTAGATCACGCACCTAAAGATACTGTTATTTAGTCCTTTAGTTAAATTAAACTGGATAGCCCAGAAATTCAAATTAAAGTCCATACCCAGGGTTTATTCCTTTAGCATTATACACAAAAATTATATATTATTAACATTTTTTTCCTAACTGCCTCAGAAATTGAGCTATTTACAAAAAAATGTATCACATTTCACAAAAACTAGCATCTCTTCATTACAGAGCAGCAGAGGAAGCTTAAAAGACAACATACTTTTCTTTAATGTAGACAGAAACCTGAACACAAACATCTTCAAACAATTTCCCTGACACCAACAGTTCTACTAAAACAATGGCTCTGAACTATTGTGCGTGCAAGAAGTGTTGGAGAAGCAAAGGGAAGCCAAAAGTAAAGAAATATCTTAAATGCTTTTTTCCCCCACAAGGAAGGCAAACATTTTGACAAACGTTGCACTGAGGCCTAAGTTGTAAGAATGCATAGAAAAAAAAACCCACAAAACTTTCTATGTCTATTAGAAATCTGTAAATTCAGATACTGGAAAAAATTAAAGAAAAATAACTTGAAAATATTTTCCCAGGAAGCACTAAATGTTTTCAGGAGTTAAAAAAATAACTGCTCTATTATGTTTACTATTTATTTGGTGATGTAATTTCAAACAAACAAGATTATTCATATAAAAAGGGAGAAATAGAGAGTTTTCTTCACAATGGTCTCTGAAAGTAATGAATCATCAATGTAAAACCTGGGTGTGTTCTTTCTAAGCTGTGAATAGTATCAATAACACAAAAATTTTATATTCCACATTCAAAATACTATTAGTTTTTATTCAGCCATAAAATGAAATATTTTTAGAATTACTTACATTCTGCATATTTCTGAAGTTGAGAGAACTCTCCAGGGCTAAGGTTAACCCACTTCTCCTGGCTCGTCATACTGGCAGGAAGGGAACTCCTTGTGTATCAGAAGAATATTTCTTTGGACCCAGGTGTTATAAACTCCATAAAGATGTTTAACCTCAGCTCACAGTGTCTGGAGAGTGCCAAGATGGCATCAGTCGATGTGGATGAAGTTTTTGATGCTATGAACTGTTCCAAATGTGCTGGTTCAGTGGCGAGTTACAGCACTGTTAAAAGAGCAAATATTAAATACAGCATAAATACCAAATATAACAGAATAAGATAAAAAATACTAAATACCAAGATATACCAGTTTTCCTGTGGGAATACTTGTAACTAATAAATATTTTCTCCTATGCGGTTCTGCTCAAAATATTTCCATACCGTATTTGTCTGCAAATAGTTTTATATGTATTTCCAAACTAATTTTTTTTTAATTCCAAGTACTTATGTTCAGAATTCATTAAAAATTATCAACTGTTTATGATCAAATGTATCCTGACACACTTTATGGAGATGTTCCCAATTTAGTAACAACCACTGAAATAGCAGATATTATCTTATCAAAAAACTTAGTTCCTTATGATTTTAAAATTGAATTGCTGTAACTGGATTTTTACCCATTTATGTTGTTATTCAGCACTGCATGGCCTCATCAGAAATGCTACAAAGCTTCTAACTGTCCATGCCAAAATAAAATAGATTCTACAGTTTGCAGAGAAGTTCACATAAGAGCTATACAAATATGAACTATTCTAACAAAATAGTAGGGGTTTGATTTCTAGAACATCACAGCATTGCTGATCACGAGTGAAAATCAAATATAACTGTTGGTACCATCACAAATCAGTTCAGGGGAAAAAAAAAATCAAATTGTGGGTGCCTTCTCATCCAAATTTTATGCAGTTTCTACCTCTGTAGGACAGACCCTCTGCCCTCTGCCAGCAATGCATTATCAGGTAGGCAGTTTTTCCTCTAATTTTAGCCATCTGAGAGCCAGGTACTTCATTTGAGATTGTCATCTCAGGCGCTCCCTTTAATCATCACAAAGAGACAGGTGGCCCAGGCAGCAATTAATCCTTCCAGTTTCAACATAAGCTTAAAATGTGATGAGTTGCCTTCTGTGGTGTTTATTGATTACAGAGGTTGCCTAGAGGACCAGTTTAGACTAGAAAGCTAAATTTAGACTGCAAGTGGAATCTCTTCCTATGTCTAGCAATGTATCATTTATAAGGGTTAAATTACAAAAAATTCAGACCAAAAGAGACGAACACAGCAATGGAATAAGTGCTAAGGAGGGAGATGTTGGTAGCTAAGAACAGAAAAAAAGTCATGAGAGAAAAGAAAGGAAAAACAACAAAATTACGAGGAACAGAAGCATGGGTTAAAAAAAAGCCCACATTATCCTAATCAGACAACACTTTTTTTTTTTTCTTCTTCTGTTATATAAATATGAGTCTCATCATTGGACAAAGAAATTCCTGCAGACACTAAGGAAGACAAATCAGTCCCAGAGCTTTCACTGCTCTCAGACCCTTCCTTGTGAATAATTTGAATGCATGGACTATACCATGACCAAGTGTCTAAGTACAATAACAGCTGTCTTGCCTTTAAAAAATTTGTACAGAAGAGATTCCTCTGGTCTTCATCTCCGCTGTTAAAAAAATAAAATGATGATGAATAATCATGAATAATATGATGATTTGGAAGATCTAGAATCTGATTGAATGTATAATATAATTGAAAAAATAACAAAAATTTACAGAAGCGTGGAGATTGGGATGAAAAAGGAAACATTAATATGAATAAAACTGGTCAAGTACAAGGCACATCAGCCCTCAAATCTCTAAATCAATGTCAATGCCTGAAAAAGGTCAGAAACTACAAAAGCTAAATGTGCTATTTATACCATTCTTTCCCCTGAACTTCAATACTTTTATTAATCTCCAGAAAAAACAACTATGGTCAATTGAGTCATTTTAATCAAATTAGAGATGTTTCATTTCTGGCAGTTGACTAAATTGTGTTGAAGACAGTTTTGTATGTTCAAGTAGGCATATATATTTTATAAGCTTGGCAACTGATGAGATTTTACTGATTTTTTAAATTGTATTTTCATAACTGATTTAACCAAAATTTTCTACCACAATTTCATCCAGTTTTACTATTGACATCATCCTTAAGTACATTAGCGTTATTACCTACAAAAGCTAACATTGCTGAATACTGTGAAGTTACAGATGATCATGATTACTGAATATGTATATTTGTGATAAACAGCTTTCCTCTAGAATTACTACAGCTAGCAAGGTAATGTTACTGTACACTCTGGTCTTACGAATCCATCCATAAGGAATACGTTTAGTTGACCACTGTCTACAAAGTTTGTTGCCTGCACAGTTCATCAGCAGAGAAAACAGATCTAAATTACCAAATCTGATATACTTTCCCCACAACAGACGCCCAGGCTCTAAAGCCTAGAACCAGAGTTGTAACAAAATGTACATGTCCTGAATGAGACGGCAGCAATGGAATGAGATGTAGTATGCACATGGCAGCTCACAGGAAAGAAGATGTAGTTTATACCTAAGACAGCAGCTATCATGGAACATACAACAGAATTTAGGGTTACATTTTTATTCTAGACAACTCTCAAATGCAAGTTCTGTCCTTCGAAAGGGAAGCCTGTGGGGGACAGACTGGATCTAATTAATGTAATTAATACCAGTGTAATTTGGGAACAGGAAAGGAGAGTTAGGCAGTCCTCTGAGGGTGGCTCACTGGTCTTTGGACTGCAGCCAGGTCCTGACTCCACCTCAGAATATGTGATGCAGAAATACATAGACATATACTGGGGAAGATTTCACAAAAAGGAAAAATAACCTTCAAGATAGTTCCTTTCTTCAGTTTCTGTTAGGTTCTGCTGCAGAGTCCCAAACAAGGAAAGATCCTGCACCACATAGTTTTTCACAGTTACACCTTTACAGTGACATTTTCCCATTTTATGTAGATAATATCATGGTTATAAGAAAACAAACAGCATACAGATGTTGATGACAAAGGTCATCAATGTATATTTCTGTTATTTGTTAAGGCATACACTGAAGATCACTTATATACTATTCAAATATCCAAATTTCTGTAAAAAAAAGTATTAGCTGTTCTGTACTATCTTTTTCACAAGTGCTTAACATAAATTCACTTCCTTACACATTATTTTAGTGCTCTTTAAGTACTTCAGGAAGGTTATGCAGTGAGAAACCTATAGATAAGTGTATGAAGAGGAAAGTAGCATCAACAATAACACTATCACATAGGAAAAGAAGAATATTGAACTACAACAAAAATAAAATGTTTATTCTGGTAGGCAAAATAAAGATCAGCAGCTCTAAACAGATCACACACAGTGATCTGACCTGTTCATGCAGAGATAAAATTCTTTGAAGAATACAATACAGGATACAGTTAAAATACATACAATGTCAGGTAGGAACTTTCCAGCAATCCTCTAAGAATTCAGCCTATTCTGGGCAACTCAGATTTGTGCATACATTTTGTTAATATACACTTAGGCAAGATTCACAGCCCTCTCAGCCAGACACAAAGCAGGCCTTACAAATAAGAGAAACTAGAAACATGACATTAACAAACCATTCATTTAATCACAAAAAGAATTAGGAAAAAAATCTTCCTCCTCTAGCCACTGACTATAATAAGTCTTAGAACTTCACTCTCCTTTTTATAACATGTTTTCCTTTATGGATTTGAGAGTTTATTAAGTGTTCTGTCAGGATTCCTACCAGGCCACATATCCAAACTAGGAAGCAAAGCTTCGTTAAAAACTATACAAATCAAATTACTTAGCATTCAGCCAACATTGCTAACCAACTTAGATTTCCAGGAATTCCCCATGCCACCGAAATCCTCAGCTGCTCTTCAGAAGCCTGGCTGACAAAAGAAAAATTAATATTTGATGGAGGGAAAAAACCACAGAGGCAAATTCCCCATATGCCAACCTCACGACTCAATCTCATTCCACCTCATCCAGTCCTCCCTGTAAGGAAAGATGAATTTTCGGAGAGCATTCAGGGCAAAATAAATTATATCAGTCCCACAAAACTGATCAACAACACCAATTTCATCTTCTAACTTCAGCCATGGAGACACGTCCATGGTTCTCAACCAACCCGACACAACTCCCTGGAAGGCAGGAGAGCTTCCTCTGAGGTCCAACCTCACTGCCGTGTGTGAAAGCACAACACTCATCTTAATGCATGCCTTAAGGGACTTATTTCTGTTTACCATAACAGGAACACTAAGAACGGCCTAGAAACGGGCTCTTGGACTTACTCAGCCATGTTCTGTTCTCTGCTTTCCCCCTGCCCTTCCACAATGTCCACCCCACACACCAGTCCAACAGCTGCCAGTTACTCTGTGAAGGGGCACAGGGTAAAGCTATAGCAAGTTTCCTTCCACAGAAACTCCAACTTTCCATAACAGAACTGATTCATGATTTTTGCCTGAACCATACGAATAAATAACATAGAATATTTTATACCCTAATTGCTATGGAGGCTGCAGCAATTATACCTATCAAGAACTCTTCTGTACAGAATGTGCTTGGTATTTCGTTTAGTGGGGGTCCTACATTTTCACCATGGTTAGTTAGATCCTGTGATTTTCAGTGTGGGTGACATAATGGGGTTTCCAGAGGAGAAGTTTACATGTCAGGTAACACACATTTACGTGTCTGCCCGAAAATTTTCTCTGTTCTTCCAAAAAACCCAAAACATGTTAACAGTGATTAATTTCTTGCCTGGAAATGTAGGCATTCTGTACAGGTATACAAGACATATGTAAGTGTTCCGTAAATTGATTTTACATTTTGTAGAGAACAATGTCTCTACTGTCAGAAATATTCCAAATTTGCATGGTTTAAAGTTCAGTATGAAGAGCCTGATGGGCAAGAAATTCTACCAAAATATCTGCTAATCACCATTATGGTTTCTTTACTTTCAAATACAGAAATAATGTAATTACTTATAATTGCTGCCGGATTCATGGCATGAATGAAAAAAATGAAGCTACATAACAAAACACAACAGTTTTTTCCTACATATATTGCTTATTTTACATAAAAACATCCCTTGTTTTGCACTGAATTTAGTATAGAGTCTTTTCAGTGGTACACTTTTTTTTCTTCAATTTAGTAGGAGATGTTTACTGA